CTTTAGAAGCTATTCTTTTTTACACGGTGGTTTGCATGAGTCTCTCTCTCTGTTTTATCCTTACAACGTCCTTGCGAGGTAGGTTGGGCTGAGAGGCTGTGCCTGGCCCAAAGTCACCCAGTGAGCTTCATGAAGAGTGGGGACTAGAACCCAGATCTCCTGAGCCCCAGTCCAACACTCTTAGCACTGCTCCGCCCTTATACCTTGTCTCAGAGGTTATGCATGCAATTTTCTAGTTACAGCTGCAAGAAATGCTTTCTTCTGATCTCTGGGAGAGCGAGGCGGTGTCCATCATGATGTCACTTGCTCTCTTCCTTTCCAGGATGGCACCGGCGCCCTCCGACGCAGTGGCTCACTAGGGAAGATTCGAGATGTGATCAAGAGAAGCAGTGAAATGCTAGTCAAGAAGCTGCAGGGGAACGGCCCACTGGAACCAAGGAACACCAAGTAGGAGGCTCTTTTGGGGGCTTGTGTTGGTTATGCGTGCATTGGTTGCATCCAGCTAGTGGCCTTCTCTTATGACTACAGCCGCCCCTGCTGCACATACTTCAGAACCCTCTAGTCTTACTAGGTGCCACTGAACAGGCCTGGTTTCATATGGGCTGGAATAGGCCTTAGTTTGATACAGGAAAGCCTTCCCCAAAGATACGCAGCCGCCGGAGCTGGAGATGCCCTGGTGCCACACCTGCTTCCAAGCCCCAGGCGTAGCCCATGCCATGTGCTCATAGCCCCCCGAAGGAGGAATCTATGCACTCCACTCCTCTAAGAGAAAGAAGCCCGACAACAATGGAAGAGCAGGTGTGTAACTGTGTCCCTTGGCCAACCAGTCTTCCCAGCTTCAAACTGCAAAGCTGCATGTTGGTTGGGAAAGTCTGCTCTTGTTGTTACCATAGACTTTAGCAAACATGGACACATTTACGATACAATTAACTGATGATTTTTGCAATCAAAATAATCCTGTGGTATACATCTCTACAGTCCCCTTATGCATGCTGAGCTTCAGACATCTAGATTTCATTGTCTCAGAAAGATACATATAGAGACACATTTTTATTTTTATAGATCACTAGAGCAAACGTGTCTTGAGTGCCTTCTTCAGTAGTCTTTCTTTTGCTTTCTAAGTGTAATAAATGTTTAAGGCTAGAGTGGCTTACTCAGGATCAAGGTGTAGCCAGTCTGTTATATACGCTCACTTAAATACTTCAAATGTGTCTTGCAGGGCAGGATCAGAGGAAGGTCCCCACAGTTCAGCATTCTTTGCAGTATGACACCAACCAGTAGGAACTAAGTCATCATTCCCAACCTGGTGCTCTCCAGATGTTTTGTATTTCAAGGCTTATCAGCTCCAGCCAGCCTGGCCAGTGGGCAGAAATGCTGGTGGTTGGTCCAAAATATCTGGTTAATTTGGGAAGGCTGCCTTAGGTGTTCTACTGGAAAAGGGGTCCACCAGTTGATGCAATTTGCTTTGCATCCACCTCTAATCTAGAACAAAATGGCCACAGTAGGAAGCAGCCTTCTGCAACTTGATTCTGTCCAGATATTTTGGGCATTTATTCCCATTATCCCCAGCCAACATGGCTAATAAACAGGAATTCTGAGTGTTGTAGTCTAAAACATCTGGAAGATACCAGACTGGGGAAGACTGGTATTAAATAATAACTGCACCTTGTAGTTTTTGTCTAGGCATGGCAACTTCAAGGGACTGACATTTTGTTTGCAATTTGACCCAGTGACGAGTTCAGATGTAACAACAAACCATGGTTTGGCATTATGTGAACAAGCCTGGATGCACACTAGAGATCATGTGTACCTTCTTTTCCTCCCCATACATGCTACAGTTCCCCTCTTCCTTTCTTGCTCTGAAGCAAACCTCTTTCATGGTTCATGGTTTGCACTGGATTTCTTGCCCAAAGCTGAAGATTCCCAGCTATGACCTTTTCCTATTTAGAGTATGTGCCCAGACCAAGGAAGAAAACAAAGCAAACAAGGAGGCCTAAAGGTGGTACCACAGAGGTAACTTTTTTCTCTTTTTCCTTAGCATGAAACGAGCAGCTTCATTGAACTACTTGAATAAATCTAGTGAGGATTCTTTCCAGGTAAGAAGCTCGTTGGGAGTGCTGAAAGTGTAGCCTAAGATATCTGGGGGGGGGATCAGATTTGGGGGAAGACTGCAGTATGCCCATCAATATGAGAACTTGCTAGATCGTTTTCATTTCAAACTGGTAAACACCAGCTTTTGTTCTTAGTGTAAACATGCTCACAACTGAAAGATGTAAGGTCACGAGAAATGGGTTGTTTTGCAGGATTCCCAAGGCCTTCGGGCTGAGAGCCGAGGCTTCAGTGCAAGCAGTGTGGATCTCTCCTCTCACAGCTCCTTGGTCACTTCCAACTGAGTCTTCCACGTTAATCATCTTTGCATCTCATCTCAGATGCCAAGTCCTTCCCCATACGGATACTGCATCTCAAGTCGATCACAGTTTTGGTTATGTCCTCCTCCTCCTCTTCGTTACGCACTAGAACTCACTGTCTCTCATGCTGATATCACTACAGTGGAAGAGTACTTTGTCACTGGGAAACACTAACCCACACGGGACCACCACCAGACTATTTGCTGTGCTGAACGCACTTGCCATCCTCTTTGCAAGGGGCGTTTTCACTGAATGAACTGCAAGAGCTCTTCCTCGACGCACTGGTTTGGTGAGCTCAGGTATAGGGGCTGACCTCTTCCTTCTTGTGACCCTTCCAACCATAGGGTACTGCTGAGAGCAGTTCACCTCCAACTTAGTCCTCACAGTGGCTCGCTCCGTCAGTGCCTACCCCCAGACCTTGTGCTTGGTAGTCTCCAGTACCATCTAATGCTGGGCTGTATAGCCTTCATCTCCCCTCTGCAGCCTGCTATGGCAAAGTCCTTCCTGAACAACCACCTTTGCTTGCAGCCATTGCACTGCTGATGCAGATGGGAAGGGGGTGTGGGATTGTTGGTTGGATATTATAATTCCATTTTGTGGGGAGTTACTTTGTCTAAGTCAAGAGACAATTCAAGACATGATGAAGTCATCAATTCCACAGAGATTTAGTATATGTATACACTCCGCTCTACAATTCATGACCCCACACTGGTCAGATTGCCTGCATCTGCCTTAGCAGGAACAACCATAGGGCAGACAGATCTACTGCCATTAACTATGTATTACCCATGATTCATTTCTGATTGTTGTCTTAATTTAATAAAAATGATCACAGCAACTAACTTGCCAACAGTTTCTGGAGTAACTCTTGCTGTGGAATTGCTCCTCCCTTGTCTTTACTGTGCAGTAAGTATAACAATAAAACAAAGGAAGGAGACGATGTCTCCATGTTGAAATGGTGTCACATTTATGTCCCTGCAAAACAAGTAAGATGGATGGGCATATACACTCTTTCTGTATACACTCATCTATGCTCTATGTAATTCTAAACATAGGAAGTGGAGTCATCCTGTTCCCTTTGATCCAGAGCTGGCAGCAGCTTGCTTGGATCTCAGCCCAGCTGAACCTGGGGCCTAATGAATGAAAAACATTGTCTCAGAGCCAGCTCTCAGGGTCAAGTGCTGTTTTGTAGGCTTCAGCACAGGTGGGCTTAGCTGAGAGTGGTGGTCATCTAGCTTTCCATTTAAATTTCCCACAGTGCCCCAGAGCAGGATTACATTGAGAGCACTGTGGGAAAACTAAATGGTGGCTATAGCCACCTTAGTATTGTTCAGGGAACCAGGTCTGAAATATTTTTCAAAGACCAAGATAGGCATCAGTGCCAGCTTTGCCAGCTGCCCAAAAGCAACAGCTGTTGATGGTGGCTCTCTGTGGGTTGTGTTCTGCCACTGAACCGAGTGCCTTTCCTGCTGCCCCTGGTGTTAAATGCCTCTGTAGCCTGCATGTGCTAGACAAGCAAAGAGCTGTTTGGCAGTAGAACAGAGTGCCTCAAGAGGTGGTAGGTTCTCCTTCAGTGCCTGGTCAGAAAACTCTCAGTGATGCTGTAACTGCAGCTTGCATTAAGCAGGAGTTGGACTAGATGATCTCGAAGGTTCCTCCCAAGTTGGCTTCCATGAAAAATGGTAAGCTGACACAGTGCTGCTGAATTACCAGATATTTCAAGGACTTTCCTCATAACCAAAATTCAAAAGATGTGGCTTTCTCAGTTGCTGGTTCTGCAGAATAGGATGGCCTCAACCAGCTGAATGTCTCCACCCATTTTTAAAATCTGTGTAATCCATCTCCTTTTTCCATACATACATGCTTTCCAAATAGCAAGAATCAAGAGGTCTGTAAGTTAGGAGTTCCGTGTCTTTAAAATGTAGGCAACAGGCAGATATTCACCTGATGGAAAAGATCGGAACTGCACCTACATAATGCCTTCATCCAGTTCCCTTTCAGGTTTTCCAGGAGAAATGCTTTGTTTATTTCAAAGCACTACGACAAAAGGGCCTTGCAGGAAAAGTGGAGGGTATAATAAATAAGGGGATTCCTCACCTCGCCAAGGGTATGTACATATTATTCCTACGTTAAATCACCCCATAAGCTTTGGTCTGCCCCGCATATGTAAGAGTCTATCCACTGCGATCCGAAGCCGGAACTCAGCGGGAGGGATTTCAATCCGTAGCCCCTTGGGAGAGGGAGAGGGAGAGGGGAGCCGCAGGCCCACAGCGTTAATCGGCTGGGCCGTGACGTCACCAAGGCGTGAGCCCGCCTCTGCTCGGATGATTCAGCTTGGCCGCCCGCCTCTGTTTCGTTGGGCCGGCAGGATCCGTTCCGGGTTGGGAAAGGCGCAGGAAGTGTCAGGTAACGGCTCCCTCCACCTGCCCCAGCGGAGGAGTGGGACCAAGACCCCCTTCTCCTCCCCGCTTCGCAGCTGCGCGCGCTCCCGCTTGCTGGCTCCGCTCCTTCCCGGAGGCCGCGAGGCCGAGGGATTGGCGGTTGGGCGAGGGCGGGGCTTAAGTGGCTGCCCCGAGGTCAGGTTTCCCCGCCTGCAGGCTGCCAGCTCGGGCCGCTCTTTCTCCCTCCTCTGCCCCGCTGTTACCTGGGAGACACCACCTCGGCGCCCGGACACCTGGGTTCCTCCCCCTGGGGCGTGAAGGCGCAGCCAGTCCCGGCCGAGGGGCCACCCTGAGCCCTCCAGGGTGGTTTCTTTCGAGACACAGGCCACCCGCAGACACACACACACAAGGAGCCCCCCCCGCTTGCGTCTTTTTCGGTGCCCGGCAGCGGCCTTCCCTCGCCTGGGGCCCTCCAGCCAGTAGGGGGATGCTGGGAGATGTAGTTTGGCTCATCTGGAGGCCCCAAGTTGGGAAGGCTACTCTAGAGCCTTCCTCCTCTCCTCCTCGCCACCTATTGCTCTTGCTCCCGCAGTTGGATAGCTCCTGTGTACCTGCCTGTTATAACCGCCAGGACAGCCTGCCTGTTGCTAAAAAGAAAATCAAGCGCAAGACTTTGCCTCCCATTTCTAACAGAGACTTCCAAATGTCAGGAAGGAACCCAGCAGTTGTAGCTTTCCTCTGCACTGACTCTGTGTGTGTATACACATACGAGAGAGCACTGCACCTGTTGAATCCCTGCTTGTCCTACTGCCAGGTAATACTTGGGGAAAGGAAGTGACAACAATATTCAGACACCTTGTGCTATGAGTCCATTTTGTGCTGTAATACTTTTTTGAGTGATTCCTTTCAAGGAGCAACTTACCTCTACTTTTAGATGCTTTATTCATTTATTGCACTTCTGTACCCCCCAATAGCCAAAATGCTCTGTGTAGTTCACATAAAATATAGCATGATAAACTAATACAAAACCTAGCATACAAAAAGTTCAAACCATTTGAAACAACTAAAAACAATTAGCAATGAAATGTCAGGACTTAAAACACCTAGCATTACAGCATCAGATCAAATGCCTGAGAGGACAGGAAAACTAATCTAGTGCTGAAAAGACAATGCTGTTAGACAGACTCACTGAGAACGTTCTTCAATGCAGGGGGTGACCATCAAGAAGGCCTTCTCATTCCTATCCTCAAGTCTGCCTTGCTGGAGGACTTCAGACATCAATTGCAGGGTACAGGTAAGTTCATATGGGGGAAACACTCTGTTACGTAGGTACTGTAGTCTTGTGCTGTGTAAGGTTTTATAGATAAAAGCCAGTACCTTGCGTTAGGTTTTGAAATATACAGGCAGCCCCTACATCTCTGCCCAGTACTTGTACCTGGCATGCCACGCTTGCTTTCTGTCTGACTACAAGAGCTTCAGTGCTTCACTGTCAGCAATGCTGCAACCCCAAGAACAAACTTGCTTCATCTCCTCAAAACCTGCTTGCTTTGCAAGAATCCAGATTATTTCTGAATAATCATCCTTGCTGCCTACATGGAAACCATTACATCCTCACATCCCATATCCCCAGAATGCTACACACATGCCTTTATGTTGCTGCCAGCCACATTCTGTAAACCTGTCAAGATGTTTCATGATGCCCATTTTTTGAGAAAGAATTGTCTCAAAATCCTGCTATTTGATCTTTGAGAAATAAACTTATTTATTTAAACATTCAAAACCCTAACTGTATCAGGCCAGGTTATTTAAAGTATTGCCTGCTCCCATATGTACTTACCTGGACCTTGAGATCATCTTCAGAGGTCCTCTGGGGGTCCCTTCTGAAAGCAGTGAGGCGGGTGTCTACTGGGAGGGCCTTTTCAACTTGGCACTCTGGCTTTGGAATAAGCTACCCAAAGAGGTGCTCCTGGCACCTACGTTATATTCTTATTGATGGGTAATTCTTATTGATGGGTAATCAATGGTGCTGTGTAGTGATCTTTTTATTTTCCCAGTATTTTAACAGTTTAACTTTTTAACTTTGTTTTTATATATTCCATTTTATTATGTACCACTGCTTTGCTCCTTTGCTGAATCATAGCAATTCCTATTATGGTCTTGTTCTTTTAAATTGTTTGTGTGTTTTTTAAAACTTTTGTTTAATTGTAACTTTTGTTACTGCCTAAGAACCTCAGCTCTTGGGCAGCATAAAAATGAAGCAAACAAATATCCAATAAGTAGGGGAAATCCAGATTTTCCAAAAACTTTCAAAGCAAATTTCTGTTGGTAATGATCTTAAAGAATTTAGGGATGACTTATTCTTGGGTCAGTAATAGGATAAAAATGCATGAATTAGGTATAAATAGACTGTTTCAGAAGGCATTTATTCAAAGATTTTTCCTGCAGTTGCACCTACAAAACATTGATTTGGCATGATTCACTAGTCAGTTGTTTGCAAAAGTTGGTCAGTGATGGCAACAATCACAAATGTTTTGGGGGGAAATCTAAGTAGTGTAAAGGACTGTGCAGTGTTAATGACTACTGTCATTACTACTGCTATACTCCCACCAGCATCAGAGGGAATGCCAGTTACTGGGGAATAATGGCAGAAGATTATTGTCCTCATTTCCTGCTTGTGTGTTACTGGTATGCAGGATTTGATAGGCATTTGGCCTGATCAGCCGGGCTTTTGCGTTCTTAGTAAATTCTTAACAATGTGAACATTGTTGGTTTATAATTGACAGATAGCACTCAGAAAAGACTGGAACTGTTGTAGTAAAATTTGCAGATATTTCAGCAGTGTATGGCTTTCTGCAACAAACAAGCTTCACAACATAGAACTTCAGTATCATTATGTCTACCAGTATAGAGATGTAGAAAGTTGTTTTATAGTGACTTAGACCATCTAGTCCAGATGCTGCCTGACCATGACTTTTAAGAGTTTCAGGCAGGAGTTTTCCCAGCACTTAACCCAGGGACTACCTGTATTGTATTTTGGCAGATAAATATCTAATACCTAATCATTATTTGAGAAGAGATTAAAAGATTGCAGTTTTTCTTGGCCTGATTTTTGCAAAGTTCTTCTGTTAGCTGTAACCGGAAGGTTATAAACCCTCCAGGTTAAATGCCCTGTGGGAGAAGTGTAGTGCATCTGGAATCAGCCTGGTATGGTTTAGTACAGGGGTCTCAAACTCACAGCCCGCGGGCCAATTGCCGGGACGGGTGGGGCATGGGGGAGGGGCCCTGCGGCCTGCAAAGCGCCGGCCGTGCCCGGGCCAGGCGCGGGATGAGTTGCCCACCACCACCGTGGTGGAATACTTGATGCGGCCCAGCCACACCCAGACTCTACTTCCAGTGGCCCCCAAGTAAGTTGAGTTTGAGACCTCTGGTTTAGTAGGATCAGGCCTAAAGAGAATCCATCCTGGGTACATTCTACTTCGAAGGCGTATGTCCAGCAGTTGGACTGGTTAGCCCATTAGGCATGCCTTTCATGGAATGCTACAGAGGAAATTCCCTCAAACCCTTCAGTATCCAAGGAGGAACAAAAGGAACACAGCAGCCATTTTTTAAAAGAAGAGTTCAGGTGGGTGGAATGGATTTCAGCTGAAGGGGTGTCTGAAGGGGGATTCAGATATCAAGAGTTGAGATGTTGATTTGGCTTGCCTTCTCGGGCAGAGTCCATCATCTAATCATTTCCAGAGTCCATCATCTAATCTTCTGAAGTGATTTGAAAATAACTTTGGCTTCTGAAATGCTCTGAAAATGACTTTGAGTCCTGGCGCTGGGTGACTGATTTCTAGGCAAGAACTTGGGGGGTCATAGAGTCTAGCAAAGAGCATGGGATTGTCTGGTGTTGAGCTCCTGCCACTTTGTTGCTGGAGATGGGTCTGCAATTAGGCTCCATGAGGGGCTCAGAATTTAGGGTTGGATCAAGGGGTTTCTTGCAATGAGCAAGTAGATGCAAGCTGAGATTTCTGCTGGCTTGACTGCCTTTCACATTGTCAGCAAGATTTGGTGCAGCACTTTCCAGCATGGCTTGAGTTTGTGTTTCTTGAAATGTCTTTTTGTGTAGACCCAATTTGAGGGTTTGAATGGATTTGGGCTCTTGGGGTAAGGATTTCTGGTTACTACCACTTGTGAAGAGATACCTCATCAGGTTTGGGTTGATTTCCAGCTTTGGGCCCTTTGAACAAGGATGAGTGGTGTGGCCACTGCAGGCAGACATGGTGGGTATCCTGTGGCTGCAAGGTCTAGGGTGCAGCTGTAATATGAAATAGGCTTTTGTTGTACTGTATTTGGAATAGGACAGTAGAGGCGACCCTGTTTTGTTTGTGATAATTGTTCTTGTAATTGGGTGTATGAAGTGTGGGGGATAGGTGTAAAGACTTTTCCACGTTGGAAAAAGATGGCTTCGGTTCAGGGACCCATTGCAGAAGGCTGGGGTTGGAACTGTGGGTCATTTCAGTGAGAGGTTTGACTATGAGGGTCAATTCTGAAATCTAGCTTTAGTAATACCCTACAACACCTAGGAACCTTCAGAGGGGTGGCTTTCTCTTCCTTTTCTTCTGTTTTGTTTTTGTTTTGTTTTCAGTTTGTATCTAACTAGGATTGTCTGGAAGCAACTCAGGGCAAGCTGGATAGATTTCAGGACAGGTTTTCTGAACAGAGTTGAATGTTGTTTTTCAGGCCCTTGTGGCTATATTGTACTACTTCAATTAGAAGATGCAAAATTTCTTGATTAGAGGATTTGGCATCTTTGGGTACAATTACCAGGTCATCAATGTACTAAATTAGTGTAGACCCACAGAGTAGGGTGACTTGATGTTAGTCTGCTTTCATGACTTGAAAAAAGAGGTTTGGACTTTCATTCAGTCCTTGTGGGAACCTCATCCAGATAAATTGAGAGCCATCAAAGCTGAAGTCAAACAGAAATTGTGTTTCAGGATGCACAGGAATGCTAATGGGTCAGTGACAGAGAAGAAGGTGGTTTCTGCAGGAATCATGGAAAGAATGACTGCTGACATGGGCACTAGGGGCTAGTCGTGAATTAGGATCTGGTCTACTTTCCTCAGCTATTATACAAAATGATAGACTGGGGTTCCATCAGGATTTCTTTTTCCTGACTTCTTGGCCAAGAGAATTGGAATGTTGCATGGACTGGTGGTGATCAGGATCTCTTGTTTATAACTGTTCAGATGCTTTCTATTGTCTGTTGAATAGGAGATATTGAGAAATCTAGGGTAGAAAGGCTCCTTCTTGTCTTGAGTTTAACTGGGCTCACACTCTTCAGGAGCCCTGGGTCAGTGATGTCTGAGGCCCAAAGTGGAGGGACCAATGGTAGCAGTTCCTGTTAGAAGGAGTAAGGGCTTCTGTTGGGTTCTTTACTCATTAGTGCTGCTATTTTTTTAATTATTATTATTAAAACATTTTTATGCCGCCCCATTTGCCGAAGCCTCGGGGCGGCTCACATCATTAAGGGCGGCTCACATCATTCAGGGTGAGGGCATTGGAATTTTCTGGAATTTGGAGGAAGAACCCTTCTGAGGAGCAGAAAATTGAGGTTGAAAGAGGAGCAGTGGGGCAGAAGGAGTGATCTGTGGAGGGGGGGGCAAGGGTAAGGGTTGGGGTGTAGAAATAGGGTATACAGTAGAGTTCTGAGAAATGCCATTGGTGGAAACAGTTTTACCTGAATTGGGAAGAAGAGGTAGTGAGTGGCTTCATTGTCCACTAAGAAGTCAGCTGGCATTTTGCTGAGTTTTTTGAGACTGTGCCTTTGACAAAAGAATGTTTTGCTGAAAGCTCCATATGAATCCCAGTTCTGGACATTATTTATCTTCTCTGTGAACATTTTTAGCACAGGAGGGAGATGTGACAAGTACTGGTCACTGGGATGCCCCTTACAGTAAAACTTACAGTGTCTAGCCTTCTTACATTAGTCGCAGCCATTGCTGAGTTGGGGAGGCCCATTTACATTTACTGCACTTGGAGTGTCAGTGTTGGGTTTTATTTTCTAGTTCATTTATGAGTTGGGTCTGTGTGGCTGCTTTAGCATTCTGGTGCTGAAGAGCTTGATATTATCAGGGGTGTCTGCTTAGGACAACAACTTGGACAACCATCAACAAGAAGCTCTGTTCTGGGTCTTGGTTCTTGGTGTGTTCTTTGAATGTTTTGAGCAGTGATTAAAAAAAATCAGGGTGCTTTTCAAGACTTTGCAACGCTGAATCTTTGTCAAGTCAGTGTTTTTAGAGCAGCAGTGGGTACTACTTCTAAGAAGTTGTCTTGGTGGTCTTGAAGTCACTTCGGCATTGCTGCATAATGTACTACACTGCTTTGAGGTCATCGACACCCTCAAGAGTTGGTTAGAATCACTCCATTTAAGGTGGTTACTGTGAGAGCCAGTGTGGCGTAGTGGCTAAGAGCAAGGAACTGGGACTCAGATGATCTGGGTTCGAGTCCCCACTCAGCCATGGAGCCAACTGGGTGACTTTGGGCCAGTCACAGACTCTCAGCCCAACCTACCTCACAGGGTTGTTGTTGTGGGGATAAGATGGAGGAGGAGAATGATGTAAGCTGCCTTGAGCCCTTTGCAGGAAAAAGGCAGGATATAAATCAATCAGTCAATCAATCAATAATAAATGTGACCCTGAGGCTTTCTCTTAAGTCTTCAGAGCTATCTCTCATTTTGAGGAAAGTGTTCGACCAGATGGTGCTGTGGGTATTTGATAAAGAAAAGTGAGGAAGACAAAAGCCTGTTGGGACAGTCAGATTTCTTTCTGGGATTACCTGCATGATAATGACTCTCTGCATCAGACAAAGAGTCAGGGCAACAACTGCACAAACTTACCAAAGCCCCAGAATGTCTGCAGATGCACAGATCAGTGGTTTTCTCTCCACTACAGCTGACAGTGGAGTTGAGTCAACAAAGGCTGGGTCACCTCAAGACGTGTTTGTCCCTTGCCGTCTCCAGGGTGCCTTCAAAGCAAGGAACTGGGCTGACTGCACAGAGATGCCTTACTGTTCTCTGGATCTGAAAGAAGAGACTAGAACAGAAGGAAGCAAACCAAACAAAGCCTTTATTTAGATTATGCACACAGGAGCATTGTGCCCATAAAGTGGCATTGAAGCTCTCCTGTTTAAGGTAGGCACTACTGCTCATGCTGTCTCCATGCTCAGAGGGAGCAAGCGCAGTTGAGTAAGAGACAGAAGGTATGCATTCCAATTGATCTGACAGCCTGCTTCTGCTTTACATGATTGGTGAGTGATTGCAGCATGGTCAGTGTCAGATTACAACTTGAGCTTAGCTTATAACAGTGCAAAAGACTGTTACATTTTCTTCTAGAGAGGGAACAACAGGAACTGCATTGTCATTCATCATTTCAAGTTATCTGCTATGTTACTTTTACCTTCTCAAACAATGAAATCTCACTTCATCAAGATATGACTCTGATAGTTTTTTAAATATGGTTAATAGGATGGGAGTAGGCAGCAACCTCCCTCCCTCTTCAACAGTTCTCCAACAGGAATTGTCTCGCCTTTGCTCTTCACTTTAGCATTGTATTTGAATTGATGCTAACCAAGGTTGCTATTTCAATCAGGGTTTGAAATGGCTTTGTAAACTGTTAATCTGGTCAGGTTACCCTTTAAAGAAGTGATGCATAATGCACAATCATAATTAAGGCCAACTAAGAAAGGAGGAAGGATTTGTACTAGAGATGTGTCAAAGGAGAAGATGCACAAAGTGTCTCCTAGTCAGTTAAGAAATTGGCATAGTTATACCTGTAAGCCATATTGGTGTAGAGGAAGGTAGGCGTACTGGGCAGGTTGTTACATTACATTACATTTTTAATATATTTTTAATTTAGTCAATAACAGAAGTTCTCTGGGTGGATTACATGAGGGTAAAAGAATAAAATGCAATGCTAAAAACAAACTGAATAGGGAAAATGAGCATTAAAAACCCATAAAATCTCATTTAAAATGCCTGAGAAAACATAAAGGACTTCACATGGAATTGGAAAGACAACTATGCAGGCACCAGGCAAGCCTCCTTGAGAAAGGAATTTCATTAACAAAGTGTTATTACTGAAGCTGCCCTCCCTTTGATGTAATTTCCTTACACAGCAGCACCTTCAGGAGGGTTTTTGAAGATGACCTAAGGGTTTGATCAGGTACATATGGAAGGAGACATTCTTTTAGAGACTCTGACCTCCAGCCATTTTAACCTTTAAAGGCCAACAGCAACACTTTGATTTGAGACTGTTGTCAACCAAGCACAGTTAGCTTACTAGTTCCATATTTAACTAACTGGTGTTTTCCAAAGCACCTGCAAAGCTAAACTGTGTATAATGCATTTCAGTAATCAGTTGTGTCAAGAGGAGTTGACTGTGATGGTAGGAGATTGCAAGGACTTCATGGACCTAATGCCAGTCACATGAATCCACTCTAAGATTTTGGAGCATCTGCTTTAATAAGTTGTGTGCTTGGTTATCAGGAACATTTGTAGCTTTCCAAATGGAGCAAGTTAGAAGTGTGCAAATATGATGGTGCTCACAGCAGTTACTGAAAGAAAGAGGGATGGTCTAATGCAGAATAATGCTAAGAGAGTCTCCCTATCAAAAACTTCCATTTAAAAAATTTGTTCTAATTGATTGCCAGAATGATTACTGCATGTTCTAAATTGCAGAAAGCTTACCATTGTAATAATAAAAAGGGAAGCCAATTTTTCATGTATATGGAAATAGAGTCATAAATAAGCCTCTCTGGAAGTCTCCAAACCAAAAAGTGAGGCATAAATATTAGGAGTACATCTATGTAATATTCAAGAGTTTCTCCTACTGAAAAAATCTTGATATACAGATCACAGTTCAGTAAAAAGGTGTGTTTTAAGGAATGAATCATGATTACCAAAGAAAAAACTTATTTTCCAGTTAGCATCAGGAGCAAAAGTAAATGAAAGTAATCAGTACTCCTTCAGTATAGCTGAAATAAAATAGCAGGACTTCAGTTAAAAGATCTTTTTCAACTGTTTCTTGATAATGGCTACATCATGATGGAATGCCTCTCCCACTGAAATCTACCTGGACATGATGATCAACATATGGGGCCTGCCTTGGACTGCCACCTCCAAAAGTGGTTCAGTTGGTGATAACAAGGAGGAGGGCCTTATCAGTGGTGGCCACCCAACTGAGGCCCTCCTGGCACCAATTCCCCCATTCTTTCAGTGTCAGGTTAGAACTGTCTTCTACAGAAACAGCTCAAAATAGTATATTGGGTCATTTTGTTAGTTGCTTAACAGGTCTTGCTGTTCAACTTGTTCTAGCTGGTGTAGTTGTTTACATTCGGTTTTAAATTCAGCTTTTAAATGGTTATATGTTATGGCTCTTTATGTGCTGTTGTAAACTGTAGAGAGCTTCAGCGATTGGATAGTATAGAATTCAAATTAAGAATAATAATCAGATTATGGTTATAAATAAAGTCTATATAGTATATCCTGGTTCAGTGGCATTGTAAGAACACAAGTAGAAACATGCTTTTATGCTCATGTCTTTCTTTTGGGCTTCCCACAGACATCTGGTTGGCCGCTGTGGGAAACGGCATGCTGGACTAGATAGGACTTTGTTCTAATTTATTATAGCTGTTTATGTTCTAGAATAGTACTTGGAATGGAAACCAAATATACAAAAAATAAGAGCTTCACTGCTCTTCTGCCTAAATTGATAGCCAGACTTACATGCTATGAGGTGTTACTCCTCCAGGAAAAAAGGCATGTGAGAACGTTTGCTATTGCTTATATTAACCCAAGTATAATTCTATAACTCAGTATCAAATTAAGACCTCCTGCAACATGAGCAGAGAGCTAACTGAGTTCCCGGACATTCACCAGGGTCTCACCCAGAGCCCCTTTATTTCCAGTGTATAGGTTTTTGATGTCATAAGCTACCTTGAGTCCCAGTACTGGGAATATGAATAAATATGATGATGCTGATATATGAAATTTGCTACGGCATCTCCTCAGATTTTCAGAAAGGGATGTCAGGCTCCAGCCCAATGGGCTCAGTTTTCCCATGCTCTAGTGGAGCTACAAGTAACATAGCAAGCAAGCAAGTCGTGTCTCAGCATACAGAGTGTTTCCCACATAGATGGGCTGCAATTGCTACTATGCCTGTAGGAAAGGCTTGGCGTATAGAGCAACCTTCCCCAACTTGGTGCCTTCCATATGTGTTGGGCTGCCGCTCCCATTATTTCTAGCCAGCTTGGCTAATGGCCATGGTTCAACACCTCGATTGCCATCTTCAGAGCCATTTCTTGGTATAGAGGCAGAAAATCAATCAATATCCCCATCTGGAGGGCAGCAGCTAGATTTCTGATTTATTATATTTTTATTCTACCTTGGCTCCTGAAAGGAGCCCAAGGTAGCTTATATAACTTCCTTCCTCCTCTTCCATTTTATCTTCACGACAGCCCAGTGAGGTGGGTTAGGCTGAGAGAGTGGCTGGCCCAAATTCACCCCGTGGGCTTCATGACTAGGGAGCAGAACCCAGATCTCCCAAGTCGCAGTCCAACACTCTAACTATTATACCACACTGGTTCTCAGGGTAAGTAATGGGTGAGTAGAATTTTTGTGGCCTTTTCTGCAGGAACTGCAGGGTTTAAGATGGCACGTATCACCCTTGAGGAGCTAAATGAACTGGATGATGAGGTTGTGGATGAAGATGATGAACCGATGGAAGAAGAGGAACAGAACAGGCTGTTTTCGCATTGGGAGGCAGTAGCCAGCACTCACCAAGTGTCACTCCCTCAGGGTAAGAACTTGCATCCCAGCCCCAATTAGGTTGCATGCAGATGTACCTTCAAAAAGAAAAGGAGTCTTTACCTTCAAGATGAGGGCTGTTTCCACCTGCCTCTGTGCTTCATCCCAGATACGGACAACTGCAAGTTGAATGATGTCCCCTCCCATACTTGGCAGGCTATTCACTTAAGGTACGTACCACCACCCTCATCCTGCCCAGGTCCTCAGTGAGTGACTTGTTTCTCTCCTTCGATTCCAGCCCACCCCCAGAGTTTTCCTCAGCCCTTTCTGTGATCTGGTGACCTCCAGATGCATTGAACTACAGCTCCCAGTATCACCTAACCAACATAGCTGGCTCTGTGTGTTGGGACTTGCGGTCCAATACATTTGGAGGGCACCAGGTTGGGGATTACTGATTGAGGCATTGAAATGTGCTTGAGCTGGGGAAGGGAAGTGATTTTATGACTGATCCAAGGGACAACCAATCAGTGTGGTATACATCCTAGCTTGGAAAAGAGGGTGAGTTGGAGGAGGTTGCTTCACAATTGCAACAAATACCAGCCAGTCAGCATTGTGCCAGTTTAATTTCTGCTTCCTCCAGCTTAGTCTTTGGAAGAAGGCAGTATGTGTGTATTAGTGAAATTGCGTTGTCTGTATGCACCCACTTGTAGGCAAAGTTTCACAAGGTGAAATCTCTAAGAAATGTTTACATAGGTTAACATTGCTTTGTACTGCAATTTCTTACTCCCTTTCCAGTCCCAGTGGCTAAACCCTAGAAAGAAATTTAATATACTGCAATAGTTACCATTTAACATTTAGGCTATTGCTAAATTACTTTCTCATTATCAAATTACCTTTGATTTTGCATTTGCCTTCAGTCAGTGTCCTCAGAATGGAGGTACTAATAATGTTCATTGCATAAATGTTCTTAGTGCTTTGAATCGGGGTTGGGAGTTCTGTTTTCTGTGACTGCTATGTAATACCAGCTTTTGATGGGGAATCCTTTCCTATCCACCTTTTCAGGAAGAGCTGGAATAAAACTGCATATTACAAGATAATCTATATAAAATAACTTCAAATACTTTGTGTGGACAAAGACATTTAAAGGGATATGTTAAGGGATATGAATTTAACAAATTCAGGGCAATGATAAACAAAGTCCCATGGCAAGCCACTCTAAAGGGAAAAGGAGCCCCAGAAGGATGAGATATCTTTAAAAAATAATTGCTTAAGGCACAACTACAAACAATTCCAACAAGGAAAAAGAGTAGGAAACAACAGAGGAAGCCCATGTAGCTTCACAAGAAGCTAAGGGAGAAAGAGATAATCTGAAAAAAGGACATGTATAGGAGGTGGAAGGAAGGCCAGACTACAAAGAAAGAATATAAGGAAGTAACAAGGAATTTATTTATTTATTTATTTAGAGTTTTTGTATGCTGTTCCATTGCTTATAGCCTTATATATAGGAATTGCAGGGATGATGAAGCAGGAAGGCTAAAGTGCTGAATGAACATTAGAAGCCCAGTTTAAATACCATCAGGACCAGACTAGGAGAAATTAGAATGCCATTAATGGCTTTCTCATAGTAAAAAGACTGGGCTGTTGGCATAGGGATTAGAGGGTAGGGGCATCAACCTTTTTTCCTTCTTGCAGGGAGTCCCTAATTGTACACACCAGCTATTTGCTTTCCATTTGCTCCAGTGTGTGTGTCCTTCCTCCTTGCAAAAAGTGTTTAGAGCAGACTGATCTGGACTGGGAATGCAGCAGGTGGTATGGGGTTAATGTCCCATAACTATCTCCTTGTCAGAGTTCCTGTCCAGACCAGGCTCCTAACACCTACGGTTTAATTTTTAAAAGTGATTTGCGCAATTTCTAATACTACTAAGTCAAGTTTGACCTTCAGAAGTCTTGGGAGGCAGATCTCACCATGCTAGAAGATGATTCACAGCAGGTTCCTGAATGCCTTCTCTAACAAAGCAGCAGTGGGAAGTGTCAGTTATGCATACTGATTCAGGAAGACCCAATCTCAGCTAAATATTTAATTGATGGCCTATATATCCTACTGAAAAAAGCCTAAAGAAGTTGTTTGTTTAGAACAATCAGTTTCAATGGATTGTCGGGGAATGTCATGACATATTCAGCCTTAAAGAAATTTCCTCTCCATTTTACTCTATTTTGACAGAGATGGCAGGTCCAATACTGCAAATGACACGCCATAACCAGCCACGAGAGCCAGTACCCTACACAACTTTATCGCAGCATGAGAAGGTGAGTGCTCATGAACATGCAGACTTGCATGAATTGAGACGTGTAGAATGTTGTTTCTAAACATATGTGCTTTCCCTCCCTCCCGCCGTGTGTGTGTGTGTGTGTTAATGTACACATGAACCCTATTTTTGCCACCTATTGAGAGGTAACCTCAGTATTGAGAATAACCTACCTTCTCCTTTCTGCAACATCATAATTTATTTTTGCTATCATTAGGCTTGATAGTTGTCTTCCAACTGTAACACTGACAATACAGTTCTGTACATGTCTAAGCAAAACTACACCCCATTGGCTTTGATGAGACTTATATTCCCATGTACATGTGAAAGAGCTTTCAGGCGGAACAGCCTCCTCTTCAGTCATTCCTTTCTCTAATGGTCCTCTTTTTATGCCAACCACAAATGTCAATGATAGATTTGGGTATTTAGTTAATATGTCAATTTCATCTTTTTGTAATTTTAGTCCATTTTAGCTCAGTTTCTGCATGTTAGCCCTAATGAATTCAAGAGCATGAGGTGTCTTCTTGGATGCTTCAGGCCAACAATGTATGTTAAACTCAATCAACCTGGTCTTCTTCATGGTTTTAAGTAATCTCTTTAAGTCATCTCTGTTTTTTCTTGGTTACTGAAGGTGCAGCAAGTTTGTTGCTATAGCAGCTCCTTGTTTTTTGATGGTTTCTTTCATTTCTTTGGGTATGTGTTTGTATGGAGTTGGGAGTTAAGCCAACTTTTATTTTTACTGTGGAAATGGTTGCCTGTTCCATGAGGTATAGCTTGGCTTCAGGCACATGTGGCTTGGGGTGAGGGAGTGTTTTTTCCCAGGTTTCTGTAAGTATGCTGGTCCTTTAAGGAGGCTCTGGAATCTCTCTTCTGGTGCCAGTCTCTCCAGCTGAATGTGGACTCTCCAAGTGTAATGACAAGCCAACATGTATTGCTCTGAGGCTTAGCAATGGCATACCTTGGACAGGCATTCTCCCCCTGCATCTGCCCTTTTTCCCTCACATGCTAGAGGGAAAGAACCTTAGAAAATGACCTCAGAGAGGAGGGAAGGACTTTTAGGGGGAGGGAAGGAGACTAGGAAAGCCAGGATATCAGTTATCCTGAGGTTTCTTCTACTTCCTTCCCTTACCCTTGAAGCACTATAGAATAGTAGAGTTGGAAGCAGCCAAGAAGCCCATCAGGTCCAACTCCCTGCTTAATGTAAGACTCTCCAAGTTAAAGTATCCTTTACAGATGGCTGTCCAACTGCCACTTCAATACCTCCAGTGTGGAAGAGCCCATAACCTCCCTAGGTAATTGGTTCCATTGCCATACAGCACCAGCAGGAAGTCTTTCCTGATGCCCAGCCAGAATTTGGCTTCCCATAACTTGAGCCCATCATACTGTGTCTTGCATTCTGGGATGACTGAGAAGAGATTCTAGCCCTTCTCAGTGTGACAGTCTTTCAAATATTTGAAAAGTGTTATCTCTCCCTTCAGTCTTCTATAGGCTAAACATGCCCAGTTCTTTCAATCTCTCCTCACAGAACTGTTTCCAGTTCCCTAATCATCCTTGTCACTCTCCTCTGTCTACATCCTAGCATGACTAGATGCACTAGTCCATTTTGCAAAAAATGCAGGATGGGAGAATAATCACTTCATGCCCTTCATTGGACAATCACAAGTCTCAGTAGGACTGTGCCCTTACCCAAGAACCTAAGTGTAAGACAGATATGAGGTCTGAGCTCCAAAACACAAAACCGTATGTCTGAATTCAAATAAAGGTGGCCTTGGAGGGCAGCCTCCCAGGGAATTTTTAATTAAAAAAAACTTTTAAAATACAGTAAAAGTCAAGAAGGGCAGAGAACAAGAGAGATATCCCTGAGCTCAATGGTAGAAATGGGTACCATGTGGGAGACTCCAGCCCATAGACTCATTTAAGTTTTAGGTATCACCGAAGTCTTGGAGGGGAGAACTACATATGATCAGGTCAGCTCTGATTTGTGGTATTTCTATGAATGAGTGCCCTCCAAAATGTCCTGTCCTTGAAAACCCTGTTCAGCACTTGGAAACTCAAGGCTGTGGCTTCTTTTATGGAATTAAGCCAGTCTTCTGCCTTCTAGTTTCCCTAGCATTATTGTCTTTTCCAGTAAGTTTTGCCTTCTCATGATGTGCCCAAAGTATAACAGCTTCACTTTGTCATGTTTGCTTCTAGGGAAGGTTCTGGCTTGATTTGATGTAGGACCAACTTGTTCAGATTTTTAAAACTACATTTTTATTATCAACTGAATCTTGGAGTCATTCTAGGCAACACAACTGAAGCCTGATTCTTACAAACAGCAGATAAGGTGGTAAACATATATCTACTCAGTGCGCTGTGGGGTGGTAGTACATGGTTGAATGCTCCACTATCTACCCCTCCCCACCCCCCAAATCTGCACAATTCTGCAAGGGGAACTTGACATGTCAGAGTAAAGGTGATTCTGGAACAGTTACCCTTCAGTTTTTTGTTTCAATATACAGGGATCTGGATAGCAGTAGGTCCTACCTGCTCTTTGAAGTAATATAGTCCAGAAATAGGTTTACTATTTCATCTGTGAAAACTAAACCCAAGATCACTGACTATTTTAGTATAATTTAGTATTTCTTTCTATGCCTGCTAGGATCCTTCCAACTGATAGAAAATATTGTTAATTATATACCATTAAAGAGGCTGTTATTTGCTTTAATGTCATCATAGGAATAATTGTAGTTTATTCCTATAAACTACAGGAAAATTCTGTTACTCACTTTACATCCGCTCTCTGAAGTGAGGTCCCTGAAGAGTTCTCTTTGTGGAGTTCTTCCTGATTTGTGGTCATAATAATTCCATTGATGTGATTCCTGGCAGAGTAATCCCATTTCCCTCTCTTCCATTCCAATACAAAATTGAATGTTTTAGAGAAGCTGAATCTTCTGCGCTCTGAAGTATTCTGTGTACAGTATCCTTCACCAGCCTAGCACCCTCTGGATGGACTAGAACTCTCAGAACCCCCAGGGGACATGGCAGGAGATTATGTGTTGTGGTCCAGTGAATCTGGAGGGCTCTGGCTTGGGTAAGGCTGGTATATACAGTGCTTGCTCTATCCATGGATGTACAAGATATTTGCAAGTAATTCTTTTGCTTTCTAGTTTTTCCTTTGCTCTTGTTTCTCCACTATATTGATGAGTATTTTTCCTTTCCCCTTTCCATTGTACTAGGAAACTTGACTCTAAGTAAACTTACAGGCTTAATGGCCCTTATTTCTAAAGACACTCGCATAAATCATTCATCAATGCTTGGCTGTGTCTTTAGTCTAAATGTGGTTCAGTTTGCCTAGATAGATTGCATATATTAGGACAGATCACACTTGTCCATGTGCATGCAGGGTGTTCTTTTCCTTTTGCTATATTGAGAAGACAATTAGATGCGCTTTTTTAATTTAGTGTAATAGCTAGGAAGATAAAACCCTATAGTGTTAACTGAGGAAATAACTACTTAAGCCACTGCTTCAGTCCTGAGAGGTTGCAGAATTTTCTGGAATAAATAAAAGTATTAATTTGTTAAAGCGCTGATGTATCTGATAAAAATGCACTCAGTAGAGAGGGCATTGTTAAAAACAGACTGGCAGTGGACTTTTGAGGATTTCCTCAATAATCAGTGGGCTGACTAAGAGAAGCTGTAGTGATTGCTGCAATGAAAGGCATCATAATTGCCTGTGCTGAATGTGATTAAAACAGCTAACTAAGCAAACACTTTTGAAGATGTTAGAGCCTTTCACATTTTGGTTCCCTTTCTCTTCCTCTTGGTTTCACCTTATAACATTGAGGTGTATATGGCTTAGGCTTTCATTTCCTGACATGGTGTCAACCAGTTGCGTTGCATGGCAACACCCAATGCCCATGTTGGCTGGGAATGGTGAAAGTTGAAATCCAACACCCCTGATGGACACCAGGCTGGGGAAGACTAGCCTAAATCTTTGTATGGCTTCATCATGTAAATTATGTTTCGTAATGAAATCATGCTTTCTTCATACAGCAGGAATTTGGAATGAGTCTTTTATGTTCCTTTGAGTACCAAGGCTTTTTCGGTATGCAATTTCCATCTGGTGTAATTTGAGTGCCAGGAGAAACACTGGCATACCACTAACTCTTCTGCCTTCTTGGTTCAGTGTGAGGAGATAGCATATGAGGAACGACTGTACCCAGTTGGGAAATGGGCATGCGTCACCAAAGGAGAACCCAAGTATGAGCAGAGCATCTCTATGGGTTTCATGAAACTAATACGGTACATCTGCAAGGAGAACTCCTTAGGTATGTGCAGGCAAGTGCTACAATAGTAGTTCATGGTATTTGGAGCAGCTGAGATTGCGAAAGCAAGGGAAGAGTTTCCTAGAATCCTCTTTCATTGTCTGGTGTCTCTGTGTGTTTCTTTACCCAGGCTGCCAGTTGGGGATGACAGTGCCAGTGGTCAATGAGATCCACCTGAATAAGGAAGGCACTGAGTTACTGCAGGACGTCATCACTGCCTATTACCTCCCTGGGGAATTTCAGCTTAACCCCCCTCTCCCCATGGACCCGGACATCCAAATCCTAGAGAGAGCACCACTTCAGGTCATCACCAGGTGGGCCTTGCTGCATGCAGATTAGAGCTATATTCAAAGTGCCAAAGCAGAGCAGGGAAAGATAGATGCTCTCTCATCCTGGCTAGGAAAAAGGGAATGCATAATGGGAAAGATGGTTACTAAGCAAGAAGAAAAATATTCTCGGGTCCTGCAGTGGGGAAAGGAAAAATCCATATGGAAAGTCGTCATTCTTTTGGGGCAGTAGTTTCCAGGTTTTTCAAGATGAATCATGCACTGGTGGATAAATGGATGGGTGGCAGGGAAACAAGACTTTCTTAACAACACTAGATCCTTATGGGTAACTGCTTTGTTGTTGACCTTGTGTAAAGGGTATTTTATGGGACAACTACAGAAGAGACAATTCTGCGTGAGATCCACCTTCTCTGGGAGTTGCTGGGCTCAACTGAAAACGTGCTCCGTGATACCTACATGGTGGCTGCATACCAGAACCCTGGTGTCCCTAATCGTCGCAATGAAATCTGGTTTATCCGGCGAACAGACTGAAAGCACCCTGAATCCCTGACAAGATTACAATCCACCCCGTCACTGGATCCAGTTTAGATGGCAGTTGTAGCCTGAAGGAGATGAATGCACATCCTGACTCACTATAGGATAGATGAGCTGTTCCTTTACCCCTGGGTGAATCAAGGAGTAATGCTCCTTTCTGTGAGCTCACAGCAAAGGAAAAAAGCTAGTCACACAAATCTCCCAGAGAGGGTTTCAATACTGCTCCTGCAGGGGGTTCGTGTGAGAATATGGAGTTGTTGATGGAGGTGGCATTGGAAAAAACTAGGGGTGGCTACTTCAATGGACCCCAACTGCTCAGTGAATGAAGGGGCACTGGGGACTGTAGCTGTTGAGCAACCCAACAGCATCCCACATCTCACATTCCAAGGGTCAGGTAACAATCCTGACATGAATTTGGAGAGCAAGTCCAAACATCACTGCCTACAGCTGTGTCTATAGCTGAGAGATGGTGATGGATGGACCACAAGTTGCTTGTAAATGGAGAATTTCACTTCTTATGCTCTGGAACATCCCTTTCAGTCATGCACATGAAAGGCTGCTAGTCAGCTTACTCTCTAAGAGCAGTGAAGCTCCATTTTCACAGTTTCGGATGAAATAGCTTTAGACTTTTCTCCTGACTGGAGTAACTTGAACACATTTCCAATTACAAATGGAAAATCCCTGCCAAGGGCTATGGCCCAGAGGAGGTTCTGAGGAGTTCAGGGAGACTCTCCTCCATGGCCTAAAGGTCCTCCTGTTTTTCTAAGAGTACTTAGGAAAACACAGGCAATCCATGGCCTAGCAGCCAGCTGGGACTTGTGTGCACCTCTTCTTAATAAAACCAGCCGAATGGCTTGGTATGAGCAGAGCAGGCCATATATTTGCAAGTTGTCATGGGCAGCATTTTGTCGCTGTGTGTTGCGTTGTGCATTGATTGGTTGGTTTCACACTCATGGATGCTACTGCCCTCTCCCAAAGGAGGCTAGTAGCGTGAAGCAAACCTGAAATAAAATATAGTTCAGACCTTGTGAATGATATTTCATTGTCTATTTTGACAGCAGATTCCAGTGATCAACTAGGGTCTGGGGTGACCAAATGACAAATACAGCTTGCTTGCAACTGACCTACTGATTCCAGTATAAACAGAATACAAACATTCTGCCTTTCTAAACTGCTGTGTTTGGAGAAGGTACTGAGCCAGTTATCACACAACAGCCCATCATGTGTTATTTAATCCATGATGAGCAGTGATGGATTATTACAGTGAGGCTACAGAATGGAATGTGTGCAGCCTCCATTTGGAATATCAAGACCTTGCTCAGGCGGTTTCATGTCATGCAACATGAGGGTCCAACAACCTCCATATAATGCTAGATCATTGGGTTTGTTTAACCCAACTCATGCTTGATGGGTTTGCATGAAGCTACAACACCAAGGAGTTAGATACACAAAATGGTGGCCCCTGTAGGCATTGCAACACCTGATAAGTTAAATAACCCACAGTGAGCCACACTGTGTTGTCTTTACAAGGTCACTGAGTCATCACCCAGAATGCCTCCAACTCCTCAGACTGAAACTCATCCCTGGTAGAGATCAGAAATGATTAAATGCAATGGCATTCTCTCCACACTCAAAGGAAATTTAAGGTGATTAAGACGCTGTGCTTATGTATGATTGCATACTATCCAATGAGCTTTATAATGTCCCTGTTTGCATGGTTGCAAATGCAGTGGTGAAAGACTGGGCATTGTCTTTTCCTTTAGAAGCTATTACCTTGCCATTGGAAGCATAACAGTATACATGCTTAGGGCTTAGTGCTTGTCCCAACATTTTCAGTATCCTAATACTATGCAGCTACAAGACAGCAACAGTAATGTATTCCAAAGTATCACCCTCCAAAGTATCCTGTTGTTGAGAGAGGAAATCCCTAATTTAATAAACTTCTTGTTAGTTTTTGATAACATAGCAAAGTTCTCAGCTTAAAAGCAACTGTTTCAGAAATTCTTGCACCTTTTTGCAGAGGGAAGTCAGTTTCCCAAGAGTGACTAATCATCCATTCAGAGATTTCTCTTGCTTAATAAGGTACAACTGAGGAACTGCTTTTGTTGAAATGACTAATCAAACATCTAACAGGAGCACCTAAGAGACAGAAACAGAGGGGGGAAATGGCATTTCACAAACACATTAGAAGGAAGACATTGTAAAGCCTATGGTTTCTTGTGAGATAAAAAAAATGCAATAATAGATGTTGAAAGTGACAGGGCACATACAATGCAGAAAGATATTCAGTCTTGATATCTGAGGAGAAACTAGGGTAGCCAAGATACTTGGGATACTTGGTTGGGATGAAGTAACCAACCAGGCTTGTTGTTTTGTTCTGTTTTTAATGGATAAAGGTAAAGGTGTGGATTAAATCAATATCTTTAAACCTAGGTTATATACTCTTGGGGCTATTATTACTTAAATTTAAACCCATCAAAATGCACCTAAAAAGAACCAAGAAATTAAAATTAAGCAAATTCATTCTAGGGGGAGCCCACTGAGGCAATATAATAAACCCAGGGGAAATGAATTCCCCCTTTGAGCGATAAGATTTTAGTAGGGACTGCCTAATTGCAGCCATGGGCTGGAAACCTGCTTTTCCAAACTAAAAATATAAGCCAGATTTTTCAGTGCTTAATTCTTCACCCAGGTCAAAATGTTATACTTTGCATCTGCTAGTGAAACACAGAAAAGTTTTCTGCCTACATTCAAGGTTTGCCTGAAGATCTTTTCACAATCTTTACTGGGAAAATTTGCAGGCTGGAATAAAGTCCCAAATGATTGGAAAAGAAGTGCTCCATCTATCTTTAAAAAGCAAAGCAACGAAGATCCAAGGTTTGGTGGGCAGTACACGGACTCCATGCTCACTTTGCAGCCACTGTTGCCCTCAGTGTGCTACTGTGGCACTACCAAATTCCCCCTTTAGAGCAAGTGTGCACTTTGCTGTAATGGCAATTTGCATTCCTTTGGATCTCTGCCTTTAAAACAAGGTGCATACTCACCACACACGTTATCAAGCAAAAAATCGACTCTCTGCTGTTACTGCATTATCAAAGCTTTGATTTTGGGAGCATCATTTTGGCACCCTCCATGCCTGAACTAGGGCCTTGTTTCATTCTCAAGTTGGTGAACAGCTGGCACTATAAAGCAGGCACGACTGCTGCACATGCACTCACAGTCCAGTGGAGCAAATGGATGGCTTGGTGCTCCAGAAGGATTGTGGTCTAGGACACTGCAGGCTACACTCCCTGTAAATGGTCTACCCAGTAAATCATGCAAGTTTTCAAGATCCCTAGGTATCTTCTTCAGGCAAGATGTTCTGTGAGACAGATTGGAGTGAGGGGAGTAGCTAGATGGTGGTCACATTGTCTGCAAGTTCAGACTAATCAGTCCCAGGTATAGTGGGACTAAGCAGCAGATAATACGATACGTCGTATAGCAGAGTCAACACTTGCAGGATCATTACTTCTAGTTCTGTTTTTATTAGCAAGGATTCTGACACCATCTGCCACCCCACTCAGATTTCCTGTTCCCTCTGAACTTGGCTGCAATTCTCACAGTAGCTGGGAGTACATTTTGAAGGGCAGGTACTCATCATGTTAGTCCCAGTAGCCACACCCCAGCACAAGTCCAAAAATTCAGATAACTGCTGATGCATATCAAAAAACAGTGCTAGCAGTTTCATCTTCACCAAGAGTCTGTTGTAAAGCTAATGGGTCTTAATTGCCCATTCAAGACAATTTGCATTGCAGGAGGGAACAATATATTGTTAGGAAAACTCAATGCTTTAGTTCCAATTTGCAATTCAGCCATTAAAAAGTGTGTGTGTGTGTGTGTGTGTGTGTGTGTGTGTGTGTGTGTGAAAGATACATTTATAAATGAATGGGAAGTAGGCATGAAAATGTGAGAGCCAGAGTTAAACTGGGAATCTTGGAGATCTGGTTTGTAGTCCCCACTCAGCCATGAAACTCACTGGGTGACATTGGGCCAATCACAGCTTCTCAGCCTAACCTACTTCAGAGGGTTGGTGTTGTGAAGATGAAATGGAGAGGAAGAACAACTTGTAAGCTACCTTGGGTTCTTTGCAAAAGGAAGGAAAGTGGAATGTAAATGTAATACAATAGTAAAAAAAAAACATCACTTTCGATTTCACCCTGCTATGTACATCCAAGAGATCCATTACTCTGCTATTCTCACTCAGCTGCACTTTCCCCTTTGGCTGGTTCACCCCTTCTGTTGTTAAATTAATTTTCCCAACTAAAATCCCCTCCTTTCTATGGAGATCTGGTACCCACAGTCAGCATCCTTTCTTTACCATATCTCACAGGCTCACAGCACAAAGTATGGGAAAGAAAATTATAGACAAACATGACAAGAAGAACAAATATATTAATCTCTCTCTGCTCCTCTCTCAGCGTCTTCTGGTGTGCATCTAGAAAAACTTACAGAAAAATCTGCCTTCCTTAATGTACAAAGTGCCATCTGCTCCTGTATAAAGTTTATAGGTTCTTATTAGGAATGACTTTAACATCACACTTAACATTCTTTGTTATGCGGAAATGTTCTGAAGGGGCTTAAACAGTCATTTCCTGAGTTAGCAACATATTCAACATATTCGTGTGAGATTCTAAACTGCTGTGTCCTGGAAGGACAAAGGGAACAGGAATTTGACTTGTGAGGCACTGACCCTAATTCTACCTTAGCAATGTCTCCTCTTGTCCCCTTGGCACCTACTGCTGATCTTTGTCTGAAAAACAACATCATAAAACAAAATTAAGTTCTCCAGTTTACAAAAGGCTGAAAATGCAATGGGGTAGCTTCTACTTGAAAAGTGGTGAGTCAAAATTATTGAACTTTTATGAGGCAAAAGAGCGGTCACTTTCATGAACAACCTTCATCAGGGCATTTGTGTGAACTACAGGCGAGTATATTTAGTTGGGATTTAAATAACCACATTTTGGTTTGGCTCATGGAATTACAGTGCTCTTCCAAGTATGTGGAAGTCATACCTGAAGGCAAAGATAAGAACTAGCAGGTATAGTGGTGGCTGATGTGCTGACAACAGCCATTGCAGCCTCTCAGAGCTGCAGCTACATTCCTTCTCTGTGGGCTTCTCTACACCACTTCCATTGTTCAGATCACGCTCTTAAGTGCCTTTGCAGACAGGTTGCCCTGTAACTGAGTAATGCCTTGCCACAGAGCTGCTCCCCACTCTCTTCAAAAGTCACCTGTGTTGGAAGGTGTGTGGCTATTATTATTTTATAGCAGACAGGCAAACTGGTTAGGTGGTATCAACTGGTTTTTCTCTGCCGCCTGAGGGTATCAATAAAAACATTTGGCAAGTCCCCCTCTCTCCCACACTGCCTGCCCCACCTCCTATCCTGTTCTAAGCAGTGCCCCATCCTCTACAGCAGGACTGGGAGGATGCAGGGGACTACAGGGGAAGGTAGAAGAATCACCAAGAGTCATCCCTCCCCTGATTCCACTGAAGTGTGCTTTTTCTCAGCTGAGGGACACGATCTGGATATTATACATTACTCTAATTTTGGTTCACAATTGTTGTGTAATGGACTTAATATGCTTAGGAAAGGTAAGATAAACATCTGGAAACAACACCTGAGAGTAGAGTTAATTACATTTTCCCCTATTTAGGATATTATAATCCAACCAGTTGAAAGCATTAGTGATATACAAAGTTATGCATATTTGTGCATGGTACTAGTGGCTCTTTATAATTCATCAGTGAATAGTAATGTTCCTACAAGAAATATAGAAGGAAAACCTTTAAAGAAACCAGTCTGATTAAGAGAAAGTTGCAATCCAAACACCCAAGAGATTCAAGAAACAATAGAACCAAGACAGTTCCGTCTTAAGGTTCTTCAAACATCTTACTTGCAACTAAAACACTGAGCTGCTATTGTGGCTATCATTAATACTAAGCTTCAAAATAAAGGATTTTTCCTCAGTGTAGTGACCTCAGCCTAGAAAGG